AAAAAAAAAAACAAAACAAAACAATGTTTATGTGTTATCTATTAAACAAATTAAGACAAAAATACAATGCTATACACTAAAAATAAAATTTTAAATCAATGTTATTGAAAGTCAGAGTTGCAAACTCAAAGCATTCAGATAGTTATGTTGTGTTCTATCATGTAATGCAAATGAATGAAGTAGGTAGGAGTATAGAAAAATAAGTAGAAAACCTTAAAAATATAAAACTGAAGCAACTGCTACTAAACTCTGACTGTACTTATGTCAGATAGCAAGCCCAATATTACTGCCCATTTTTCAAAAGAAACAGGAAATCTAGCCAGGTGCAGCAGTGCACACCTGTAATCCCAGCTGATTAGGAAGCTGAAGCAGGAAGATCGCAAGATCAAAGTCAGCCTCAGCAAGTTAGCAAGGCCCTAAGCAACTTAGTGAGATCCTGTCTTAAAATAAAAAATAAAAAGGACTAAGACTGTGGCTCAATTGATTGAGTGCTCCTGAATTCAATCCTGGTACCAAAACAAAAAACAAACAAACAAAMAAAAAAAAACAGGAAATTTAAATATGTATGTAAAATGTCCTCACTTTAATACTGGGTCTCCACCATGCCCAGTAAAATAGATTCATCCCACAGGTCCCTGTTTGTAACCTCCAATATTATAGAAAGCCCCTAATTTATGAACATGTGTCTCCGACTTATAAGTTTGAAAACTCTGAACACATTTTCCCCTAAGAGTAAAATAAGTAGTTTTTAGTAAATAATAGTTTTTAGTAAATAAGTAAAATAAGTAGCTGGTTTCCAGATCCATTAGTCCAGGTAAACTACAGTACTGAACAAATAGTACTATTATCCTGACTTCTATGACTAACAATTTTTACATTAAAGAAATTATTCTATTTTGGACTTTGGAAAGTCTAAAGCGGTAGATCCAAGGGTATCAAATGAGGAAACGGCAAAAACAAAAGGAAAGAAAAGGAGCATTGGGGAGGGGGGCTCCTTTTTACTCATTAGAAAAAAGCATAATTACCATAAACATGGAAACAAAACCACAAGGATGCTTTCAGCACTATTTATAGATTTTAATATATACAATAATTTTAGTTTCTATTATTTCATTTTTATATCAAAATTTACAGTTTCTCTCTTCAATAGAGGCAGGAGTTCCTCATACCCACCTGCTTTGCCTTTTGACTTACACTTTTAGCATCTTACTCTCAGTAGTTCAGATTTATAATCATCCTCAAAACTTACCGAGGAAGTTTATTAAAAAAAAAATTTTTTTAAAGACCGGGGTTGGGAATGAGCTCATGATCACTAAAGTGCCTGCCTACCATGCATATAAGGCCCTGAGTTCAATCCCAAGCACCACAAAAAGAGTAATAATAATAAAAATAATCAGAGGCTTTTTCTGATTATGAAGGGAAAGAATCTTGGGAAAGAATTCAAATCTTTGATGGTGGAAACTGGGATAATCTTTCAAAATTTCTCCAGAGATCTGTGTCATTTGTAGGCAACAAAAAGTGATGAGAAGAAAGAAAGGAAGGAAGGAGACTGGATACATGCCCACAATCCCAGCAACTCAAGAGGCTGAGAAAGGAGAACAAGGTCAAGGCCAGTGACCATGTCTCCAGATAAAAAATAAAATGAGCTGGGGGTATAACTCAGTGCTAAAGCACCCTGGCTTCAATCACCACTGTGGAAGAGAAGAAAGTGGAGCACCAGTGGGAAGGAAAAAAGGATGTCTCAGTGACAACAACAGCTGACACTACTGAAATTTCCTGCAGTCCTTGTAAGGGGCTGATTTCTAGAAGAATTCTGTCCATTGCTCATAAATCACTCATCACAAAGTAAGAATGCCACATAATTTATATAATTAGCTTTAGCAGAAAAATCTATAGTGGCTGAGGTTGCAGCTCAGGGGTAGAACATGTACCTAGCAACGGACAAAGCCCTGAATCCAATCCCCAGCACTGAAAAAAAAATTCAATAAAGAAGAAAGCAAATTGTCATGCCCACTAGAAGATTAAAGAAATATTAATTTCCTAAAGGTAGATTTTTTAAAAATTTTTTTAGTTGTTGATGATCCTTTATTTATTTATTCATTCATTTGTGGTACTGAGAATCGAACCCAGTGACTCACACATGCTAGGCAAGTGCTCTACCACTGAGCTACAATCCTAGCCCTCTAAAGGTACATTTTATCACTTCATTACTAAAGTAATAATAAACTGACTTTTTTAAAACTGAAATTCACTCATGACTACTTCTAAGAACTCTACATTTTTTACCCATGGATAATATTCTACCTGGAAATTATTTGTAGCAAAGATGCAATCTCAGAAGAGAAATACTACTTAGTACTTCCAGTTACTTTGTTAACATTTAGTTAATGGATACCTAAAGAATCTCATTTTAACATTATCCTAAGAGTAAACATGATTTTTAAGATGAAATCTGGAAATTTTTGGAAGTCATTTATTGATGCTTCATACTATAACCTCATCATATAATTCTGAAGAATAAGCTACAAGTGTTTTGGCATTCTGTCTTTGAAGATCAGCTCACATTGCTCTCAGGTTACCAGTAAAACTGCTTTACCGTCCTACTTAAAATCTAATTAGGGGCTGGGGTTGTGACTCAGTGATAGCACATGTGAGGCCCTGGGTTCGATTCTCAGCACCACATATAAATAAATAAAATAAAGGTCCATTGACAATTATAAAAATATTAAAAGAAAACAAAATTTTTTTAAAAAAACTAATTAGAAAAATCAATTTGTTACATAGAAAAAAAGTCACATGTGCTATAAATTCCAACAGAAATGACCATTGGATCGACTTACTGTCTCTCCTTTCCATTAATAAGGAACAAGAGATGCTCCTTTAAAAATAGTGAAGTTCACCAAGTTTCAGATCATCAGAATGTCTGTTCCCCTCTATTAGGATAGAAATTATATGCACAACATAATTTAGAAAGGGTGCTAATAATATGAATTCATTGGGACTTTTTAAGTAAGGTGATTCTTGTTTTTTGTTTTTGCTTTTTGTAGTTGTAGACAGAATGCCTTTATCTTATTGGTTTATTTTTATATAGTGCTGAGGATTGAACCCAGTGCCTCACCCATGCTAGACAAGCATTCTGCCACTGAGCTACAACCCCAATCCCAAGTGATACTTTTAATGTCTTCTATGACTATGATTTACTCAACTAGACACCCACCCCTAATCAGTACAGAAAATGTACCAAAAGCTTCAGAATTACTTTACAAGAATATTTAGCCTATAATTGCCTTTATATAGATTCACTAACATAAGGAAAAATCCCATGAGTATTTCATGTATTTCTTGGCTTGAACAATATGGTTACCATGTCCACCAGGTATCATAGAAAATAAGGGGAAAAAGTATAAATAGAAAGAAGAGAGTCTAGGCTTTGAATTTAACCAAAGTCAGTCTCAACCACTATACTGAATTGATTCTAAAGGAAAACATTAAGGCATTTATATTTTATAACTTTCAAAAATAAAATTATCAATTATAAAACATACCTTGCTGAGCTAAAGTTGATCTAAGCATCCCAGTCTTTGACCAAATTTTAATTTGTCCATCTTCTCCAACTGAAAATAAAGTAAACTATTAAATTTGCATATAAAGTCAACAGTATTGATATAATGCATATTTAAAATTTGGATATAACTTACTCTAAATGATAGAAAGAAAGCTTTAGAAATGGAAAAATTACTTTAAAACAATTTTGTCAAAATATCCTAACTGCCATGACTAAAATTAAACTATTAAATTTGCATATAAAGTCAACAGTATTGATATAATGCATATTTAAAATTTGGATATAACTTACTCTAAATGTTAGAATGCTTTAGAAATGTAAAAATTAATGGAAAAGTTACTWTAAAACAATTTTGTCAAAATATCCTAACTGCCATGACTAAAATTGTATTTTTTTCCTTCAATTTAAAAGCCTTACTGTTATTCATATACTGCTTCCATTGTCAAAGTAATCACCATTTTAGAATTCTCAGAGAAAGCCAGGTGCAGAGGTACAGGCCTATAATCCTAGCAATTTGGTTTGGCTGAAACAGGAAGATTACAAATTTAAGACAGGTTTGAGCAACTTGGTGAGAGCCTATCACAAAATAAAATAAAAAGGGCTGGGGGTTGTATCTCAGAGCTGAAGTACCCCTGGGTTCAATCCCCAGTACCAAACACACACACACACACACACACACACACACACACACCAACAAAAACAACAAGAGAAATACTGTTAGTGTAGTAAAAACTACTGCAACCAAACTCCAGTGAGTTGGGGACTGAATGAAATGAAATGATGGACTATTCTGTGGAATAGCTTAGCTAAAAAGGAAAGAAAGAAGACATGGTAGCAAGGTATGTTAAGGATTTTTGTACTTATTTTAATTTATTTTTTMTTTTATTTTAGGCAGTGCTAGATAAGCATTCTAACTGAGTTATAGCCCCAGCCTGGAATTCATTGTCCTTCTTAATTTTTAAAATAAGTGACATCTAACCACCTTTTTACCATGAAAAAGAAGCCACTGAAAAAGTAATTTAAGATACATGTGAGACCACTAATGAAATTTTAGAGTAATTTAGCAAGAGAAAGAAATAAAAGGAAAACAAATAGGAAGGAAAGAAATCAAAGTATCGCTTTTTGTAGACTACATGATCCTATATTTTAGAAGATTTCAAATGCTCCACCAGAAGACTTCTAGAGCTGACAAACAAATTTGGCAAAGTAGAAAGATACTAAATCAGCATACAAATCCACTGAGAAAGAAATCAGAAAAACAATTCTATTTACAATAGCCTAAAAACAAAACAAACAAACAAAAAACCTGGAAATAAATCTAACCAAAGATATGAAAGACCTCTACAATGAAAATATAAAAACATAACATAACATATGTTATGTCATCAATAGGTAGAATTAATATTGTTAAAATGGCTATATTACTAAAACAATCAAATACTAATGACATTCTTCAAAGATCTAGAAAAAAATTTCTAAACTTCTTATGGAAGAACAAAAGACCCAGAATAGCCAAAAAAAGAAAAAAAAAAAAAGGAACAATCATAATACCCTATTTCAAAATATATTACAGAGCTACAGTACCTAAAACAGCATGGCACTGACATAAAAACAGGTAGACCAGTAAAATAGAAGACAGACACAAACCCGAACAGATACAGTCATCTCATCCCTGACAAAGAAACAAACATATGTTGGAGAACACAGTCTTTTTAACAGACAATGATGGGAAAACTGGATATCCACATGTAGAAAAATAAAACTAGATCCCTATCTCTCAACCTGCTCAAAAGTCAATGCAAAATGGATTAGAGAACTATGAATTAGACCAGAAATTGTTCAACTGCTAAAAGAAAATGTAGGATAAACACTCTAACATATAAGCACAGGCCCTATCTTCCTCAATAGGACTACTAAAGTTCAGGAAACAATACAAAAATTAATAAATGGGGTGGCATTAAATTAAAGAACTTCTACACAACAAAGGAAACAACAGAGTATAAAGACATAATGGGAGATCTTTGCCAGCTACTCCTCTGACAAAAGGATTAATATCCAAAATATATAAAGAACTCAAAAAACATACCAACAAAAACAACACAATGAATAAGTGGGCAAATGAACTAAACAGATATTTTTCAAAGGCACAGATGGCCAATAAATAAAAAAATGTTCAATATATGAAAAAATGTTGTCATCAGGGAAATGCAAATCAAAACTACACTGAGATTTCATTTCCAGTTAAAATGGCAATCCAACCATCAAGAATACAAAAAGCCAGTGTGTTGGCACAGGCCTGTATTCCCAGGGGCTCATGAGGCTGAGCAAGAGGATTAAAAGAGTTTAAAGGCAACCTCAGCAAAAAGCGAAGTACTAAGCAACTCAGTGAGACCCCGTCTCTAAATAAAACACAAAATAGGGGGCTGGGGTTCCGGCTCAGTAGTAGAATGTTTGCTTAGCTTGTGTGAGGCCCTGGGTTCCATCCTCAGCACTACATAAAAATAAAGACAGTGGGTCCATCTACAACTAAAGATACATATTTTTTTAAAAAAATAATACAAAATAGGGTAGGGGTTGTGGCTCAGTAGTTGAGTGCCCCACCAATCTCCAGTATCCACCCCCTCAAAAAAAGAAAATCAACAACAATAAATGCTGGAGAGATGGGAAATATGAATTCTGTTGGTGGAATTGTAAATTACTGTAACAGTGGTACACTTTATGCTTTGAATATAGCCTTGGCTGCTCTGCCAATGCAATTTATTTTTAAAATGGACATGTTTCTTTCTGTTCCTCACTCCCTGCTCCTCCCTGATCTCTTCCCATCCCTAATCTCAGGGGAAACAGGGTTACCTTTCTTCCCCATCCTAAGCAGACTTATCTGACCTTGAGTACACATCCACCATAAGAACAAAGTAATCCAGACTTTGGGGCTGGTACCAGAAGATCTCAGAAATGACTATGTCCCAAATTAACAAGTGATTACAATTCCAACAAAGAACACATGGAATGTAGCCTTTGAATCACCTCTTTACAAACTCCTTTCCCGCAGAATCACAGCTTTTGGGATAGGTGTCTGTTGTGTTTCTCCTTCATTAGTGTTAGACCAGGACTCAAGAAAAGACCACTGACTCCAATTAAAATCAAATTAAAGCAAGCTTATTATTTCGACCGGCCGGGCTGCCTTTCCCTCCCAAAACGGCGGGAACAAGACAGCCACCCCACCTTTCCTACAGCCCAGCTTTATAGCCCAGAAAGTTACACAAAAGGGGGGTTACAGATAACAGAACTCTGACAAGCATCACACTAATGGTAGTTTACTTTTTTTTTTTTTTTTGCTGGCCCCAACATCAGAATTTATGAGGACCATTAGAGCCTCAGAGAGGGTCGTTGTCTGGCCAGGGAAGGCCAATAATTATGAGGTATCACTAAAGTTTCAGAGGGGGCTGCTATCTGGTCAGAGAGTCAGGCATGGGTGAGTTCAAGGCACGGGCAGGCATTCCAAGCAGGTTCAGAATCTGCAGTAATTTATAGTAAAGCCGAAATTATCTTTTCATGGCTTTGTGGCGAGATGGCTCCCAATTTTAATAAAAGATCAGGTTGGGTCTATCAATTAGCAAAGCAATAAACCTTTTTTTTTTTTTTTTTTTACCTTTTTTTTTTTTTTTCCTCAAAACTGTGTCCTCATTATTGGATTGGCATCAGAGACAAGGACCAAGCTTTCCGTAATATAACTACTATGCAAATCAGCATGGAGTTTCCTCAAATGTCAGGAATGAAACTTTCATATGACCTAGCTATACCAGTCCTCAGTATTTATCCAAAAGAATTAAAGTCAGCATCTATTACTGATACATATATATCTATGTTTACTGCTGGGCAATTCATAATAGCCCAGTGTGAACAAGATTAAACATCCATCAACAGATGAATGGATAAAGAAAATGTGGTATACATATATATACAATGGAGATTTATTCAGTAATTTAAAAAAAGAATGAAGTCATTTGCAGGAAAATGGACAGAGCTGGAAATCATCATGTTAAGTGCAATAAACCAAACTCAGAAAGTCAAGGGTCCTATATTTTCTCTCATATGTGGAAGCTAGAGAGAAAAAAGGAAGAAAAAGGATCTCATGAAAATACAAGGGAGACTAGCAGCGTAGAAAAAAGCAGGGGAGGAAAAAGAGGAAGGGAAGGGAAGGAAGAAGGAAATAAAATTGACCAAATTATATGCATATATGAATATGTCACAATGGATCTGGTAACATGGTTTTTATTATACATCAATAAAATTATTATTTTTTAAAATACAGATTACAGAAGGGACAATTCACCAAGAAAGCCCTCTGACCAAAAGCCAGGTGATAGCTATGGTAGTTTTAAAACACATCCACAAATTATCTGTTATCCCATCCCCTTCAAAAGATAGAGCTTAATTCTCTCTCCTTCAGTGTGGGCTGTACTTAGCAATTTGCTTCTAATGAACTAGAATATGATGGCAATGATAGAGTATGATTACTAAGAGTAAGTCACAAAAAAATATTGTGGATTCTATCTTGTTCTTTTTTTGGATCACTAGGACAAGCAGCTGCCATGTTATAAAAATACAGCCCTATGGAGATGCTTATGTGGCAAGGAAATTAGTCTCCTGCCAAAGCCAGAGAGGAACTAAGGCCTCTTCCCTTACCTATTGAGGCAGGTAAGTAAGTCACCTTGGAAATGGATCTTTCAGCCCTAGTCAAGCCTTGGTATGACTATAGTCTCATCCAACAACTTGAGTGAAACCTCATGAGAGACACTGAGCCATAAAGAGTCATCCACCTAAATTGCTCTCTGACCCACAGAAACTGTCAAATACTACACATTTATTATTAAAAGTCATGAATTGTAATCCCAGAGACTCAGGAGGCTGTCAGGAGGATCGTGAGTTCAAAGTCAAACCTTAGCAAGTCAGTGAGGCCCTAAGCAACTTAGCAAGACCCTTTCTCAAAATAAAATATAAAAAAAGGATTGGGAATGTGGCTCAGTGTTTAAGCACCCTGGATTCAATCCCCAGTATCAAAAAAAAAAATTATGAACTATGCAGTAGTAGATAATTTTGTGAAGATGAGATATGAGAATACTCTCATAAGGAAGATAAGGAAGAGATAAAAGGAAGATAAAAGTCAGTCAGAGGGGATGTGGCTCAAGCGGTAGCGCGCTCGCCTGGCATGCGTGCGGCCCGGGTTCGATCCTCAGCACCACATACAAACAAAGATGTTGTGTCCACCGAAAACTAAAAAATAAATATTAAAATTCTTTCTCTTCTCTCTCTCTCTCTCTCTCTCTCTCTCTCTCTCTCTTAAAAAAAAAAGTCAGAATATTTTTAATTTTGAAATTTTAAAGAATCACAACTTTTATTTATCTCAAATTTGACTACTCTAAAACCTTTCTTTGAACTAAAAAAAAAACAAACAACTCAATAAATGGATAAAAGAACTGAATAGACACTTCACAAAAGAAATATGGTCAAAAAAATGTTCAACATCTCTAGCAATTAGAGAAATGCAAATTAAAACTACACTTAGATTCCACTCACTCCAGTCAGAATGGCAACAATCAAGAATACAAGTAACAAGACAAGGGGTATAGCTCAGTTGATAGAGTGCTTGCCTCATATTCTCAAGGCCCTGGGTTCAATCCCCAGCACCACCAAAAAAAAAAAAAAAAAAAAAATACAAGTAAATGTTGCCAAGGATGTGGGGGAAAGGGTACACTCATACATTGCTGGTGGGACTATAAATTGGTGCAATCACTCTGGAAAGCAGTATGGAGATTCCTCAGAAAACTTGGAATAGAACCACCATTTGACCCACTCCTTAGTTTATACCCAACAGACTTAAAATCAGCTGTACTACAGTGACACAGCCACAACAATGTTTATAGCAGCTCAATTCACAATAGCTAAGCTATAAAACCAACCTAGTACCTACCCTTCAACAGATGAATGGATGAATAAAATATGATATATAAACACAATGGACTATTACTGAGCCATAAAAAAGAATGACTTTATGACATTTACTGGAAAATAAAATGGATTTGGAGACTATGATGCTAAGTGAAATAAGCCAATCCCCCGCCCCCTCCAAAAAGGTTGAATGTTCTAATATGTGGAGGCTAATACAACAAAATGGAGGAGGGGAAGAATAGACGTTCACTGGATTAGACAAAAGGAAATGAAGGAAAGGCAGAGGAGAAAGGAATAGGAAATGATTCTGACATAACTTTCCTATGTATATATATGAATACACCACAGTGAATTTCTACATCATGTACAACCACAAGACTGGGATCCTAATTAGAATAAAATGTACTCTATGTTTGTATATAACTAAAAAGAACAAAAACTTTAAAAAATAATAATAATAAAATAAAGACTTCTTTGACAGAACTGTCTCTAAAAGAAAAGAAAATCAACAAGATGAGGAGCTCTGCATCCACTGCAGACTGTATAAAGATGTTTGGCTCACATAGACTCCAAGGTGAGAGGCCTGCTGCAGGCCAGATAGCCAAGCTTGGGCCAAAGAGCTCTTCCTGGGCAGATCCAAGAACAACCTAGCAAAGGTGAACTTAATGATATCAATCTACTTGTGAGATCCATGGAAATGTTCTTCACTGAAGATGCCTTTGTCATCACAGACTCCTATTGTTGCCTGGGCCTTTCCAGCCAAGTAGAAGTGGCTGGAGCAGATCAGCTTGGAAGGGTCTATCACCTTGACCCTAGCAGCACATCTTGGCTATCCTTCATCTCAAGGTCAATTGACTATGGATTCCATCTAGTCCTTCTGGAGGAGGAATGAGGCCTGCTTACTTTTACGAGAACTTAGGAAGTTCATTTTGAAAATGCCAGAGTGCCCATTCCAAATGTCCTTGGAGAAATTTTAATCAGTTCCAAGGGTATCTAGCTGCTCCTACAAGAGCCTCCAGCCCCAAAATTCAAACTGCTCTGTAGCAGGAGAGTACACTAGGACAAAGCACCTGTGGGTACCTGGTATCAGTCTCATGCACGACTTAAATGCAGGATGAGGAAAAGATACTGCAGTGAGTAGGAACATATCACCCTGTCAAGTTTCCTAAGGAGAGACGCAATAAAATGACATTCTAATATAGCAACTGGGTCTAGAGAGTATAAATGGAGAAGAGGTACAAAGATGTCTAACATCCAAGTGTGGGATAGATGATTATTCTCGGCTTTCCTGTCAAATATATAAAAATGCATACATATATAATATTTTTCACTTTTTAAGATTATTTTGAGTCAGGGTCTTTTTTCAAATGCAGAAGGTTTCACTATGATGCTGAGACTGGCTTCAAATCTGTAATCCTTCTGCCTCCGCCATGTGCCACCATACCTGGCTTATCATTCAACTTTTATAAGAAGGATGCTACAGGTGGAAGTGATGGCAAAAGTTCAAGGTCAGCCTCAGCAATTTAGCAAGATGCTATCTTAAAAGTAAAACATAAAAATAACTGGAGATACATCTCACTGGCAAAGCAACCCTAGGTTCAAACTCTAATAACAAAAGAACATTCTGCCATTTAAAATAACATGGATGAAGCTAGAGGACTTCGAGGTAGGTGAAATGATCCAGACACAGAAAGAAATATATTACATACTCTAAGTGTAGAATCTGGAAAAAAAAAAAAAAAGTTGAATGTATAGAGAACAGAGGTTACTAGAAGACAACAATTAATAATACTGCATCATATACTAGAAATTCCAAAGAGTATAATTTTAATTGCTCTTATTGAAGAATGAATAATTATGCAACACAATGGATTTTATTAACATATATCTACTATACATATTAATAAGATTTGGTGTGATATTTTCATGTATGCATACACATGTACATAATGTCCAACCACTCTTCTTCCACTCTTTTTTGGTACCGAGGACTGAACTCAGGGGCACTAGAACACTAAAAAATGTTCACAAATCACATCTCCAGCCCTATTTTGTATTTTATTTAGAGACAGGGTTTTAATGTTGCTAAGGCTAGCTTTGAACTTGCAATCCTCCTGTTTCAGCCTCCCGAGCCACTGGGATTACAGGTGTGTGACACTGTGCCCAGTTTCTTCTTCCACCCTTGATGCCCCAGAAGTCTTCTCATCCAGAGCCAGTATTCTATTTTCACATAAATTTTATTTTATCTGACATATATAATAGACAGCATGTGATATTTTTCTTTTTGTGTCTTTCATCACTTAGTGTTGCATCATCCAGTTCCATCTATTTTTCTGAAAATTACAATATCTCATTTTTGTTTATGTATTCACCATTGTGAATACATAACATACTTTCTGTTGCATATGTTAAATTACTTACCTACAACACTAATTTTTTTCTTTGTATGTATTGCTAAACATACTGTTATACAACTTAAATTCATACAACAAAAGAAACAAAGTAAATTAGGAAAAAAAAGAAAACTAACAATATGTTTTGAATTATAACATTTATATAGCAATCTAGATTCTGTGCCAAGCATTTGCTATCACACAGTGAAAACTTTTATTGCTAAATGAAAGTATCTCTTTCTGTCTCTTTGGAAATTTTCTTTAAATATTTCATTTAAAATGTCACTTTGGGGTTAAGGGATTTTGCTCAGTGGTAGAGCACTTACCTAGTATACACAAGGGAGCCCTAGGTTCAATCCCCAAGACCAATTTTTAAAAAGTTATTTTTACAAATAACGTACCTGTAACTAGTGCTGTACCTTCATAATTCCATCTTCCTGCAAGTACTGCTCCACAGTGAGCTTCTACACTTTTCTCGACTCTTCCTAACTTAGAAATCAAATGAAATTTACCTAAAAAATTGTATTTGAGAAATGTTTTATTAATTATTCAGTACACAAACATCTGTTGAGCATGTACTACTAGAATAATTAGCTTAGTACTAGGCCTTCTAGGCATAAAAGGAAACAACGTAATTATTCTTAATCTCAAGGAAAACAAATCTATTGAAAAACAGGCACAGTGCTGGGGTTGTGGTCCAGGGGCAGAGCGTTCACCTCCCACTTGTGAGACCCAGGCTTCGATCCTCAGCATCACATAAAAATAAAATAAAGATGTTGTGTCCACCAAAAACTAAAAACTAAATATTAAACAACTATCTCTCTCTCTCTCAAATAAATAAATAAATAAGCAAACAAACAAAATAAGGATATTGTGTCCATGTATAACTAAAAAAAAAAGAAAAGAAAAGAAAAACAGGCATAAAAATAGAGTTACAAAACCTAGAAACAAGCAGTATAACAGACGTGTACATAATGGTTCAGAGAAACAATGAAATTCTGCTACAGTTAAGGTGTGCCAAGAGAAATGCCAAGAAACCCTTATATTTAAGCAGAATTTTACATTCTTGATTTTTTTAAGCTATGGAACTGATGAAAAAGTACAAAGAAAAAAATAGTTATATAAATAATCCCAGGTTTTAAAATACTTGCCTTATATGATTTTCTACTGTTATCAGGTACCAGGACAAAAAATAGGCCAAGTACTTAGATGCTCTCCTCCAAGTTTGTACATTTATAGGCAAAAAGTTAAAAAAGACTTCAAGAGACGTAAGTAAAACTATATCAGATGTCAAGGGGAAAAATCAAATATGTGAAAATAAGTGGTACAGGAAGACAAAGTATCAATATAATTTTTGAATAATCATTAAACCTAGTAATATATATACAGATAGTAATAAAACAAAAAAGTACATTGAATCTACAAACTTTTCCATAGAATACATAAATATATATATATATATATATATATATATATATATATATATCTCCTAAAAGAATAATATAGCTGCCTAATCAAATTTTGACTAAGGATTTATTCTGTTTAAAATCACTTTTAACATACACCTTTTCAAGATTCTGACTTAACAATTCATTAAAATATATTTAAGAACTGGGAATATATCTCAGTAGTAGAGTGCTTGCCTAGAATGCACAAAATCCTGGCACGCGCGCGCGCACACACACACACACACACACAAAAGGCAGATGCTTAAGATAGCTTTAGACATTCAATACCTAGTCCCACCTAATCATTTTCACACACAAAAAAATTTATTCTCCCTTTCTACACAAAGGATACTTTATTTATAGCTAATGACAATGAAAAAATTCTGAGCGTCCTAAATTTAATTACAAAAGGCAAGAGAGAGAAAGAAGGAAGAGAGATAGAAGGAGGCTAATCAGCAATAAACTACAGGCCAAAAAAAGAACAAAAGACCATCTTGTAATCTTGGATGTACTTTGAAAGCTTTTAAAATATCTGATGTGTTATATGCTATATCCTGACCTGTTATATGCTACTACATCCCTGGCAGATTACCTACCTATCTCAAAATCTTCACTGATTTGGGTAATCCTGCCCCTATACTAAATAGCCAATGTAGGGTTGTGTAAATAACTTGACTCTTCCCTCTCCAAACTTTCATTATAAAGTATTCTGGTCTTTAGATACAACAGACATTTTTCTACCTGCCACCTAGGTGGTGGCTAAGGGAATTTATCCCAGGACTAGTTCTTTCTTTCTGGCAAGCATCTTTTATAGCTCAATAAATCCTTTTACTCCAGAGATCTCTTGGTCTCAGGAATTTTTACTTAACACCCTGTTAAAGTATGTTTTATTAAGTTTTGATTCCTTTCAGGTCCAGGGCCATATCTTAGATTTTTATTTTATTTTTCTTTGTAAAAGTACTATTGTCCTTTTACACAATCAGTTGGTTTAAGTTAACCAACTCAGCATCCCAAAACATAGCCTACTATGACACTTTCTTTCCCATTAATTTTAATGACTTTCTTCTCTCAGCATTCATTTTCTAGGACCTTTCTAGGTAGTAAGCTACCCTATCATTCATCTAACAATCCACTAGCAACATCTACTTCTCCCACTTCCTTTTAACTTTATATTTACTGCTGTGTCATTTTTCTAACATAACAAGATTACTTTGAATTCAACTGTACTAATTCTTTATTAAATCAACTTAAAATTAATTTGTGTACATGTGTTTTCATATATTATTTTACAAACAAAATACAAGGGGAAAAAGTCTCAAAAGAGGTAAAAGATGACATATAGTAAGCGGAAAGCTAATCAGACATTACATTACTTTATTCAGGCGTTTCATTAAATGTTAGTATAATGTCTAGCACATAATATCCACAAAATAAATAACTGTTGCAGATAATGTATGAACTCATCAAAGAAATTAACCAAATAACTCTTGACCAGAAAGGTAGAGTCCAAAATTTATCTTTCAACCTATTCTAATTTTTAAAATAGTTATGTATTTACATCACTGATATTTCTTACCCTAAAACATCTAATTCTGATTTTCTGATAAGTGCTAACATTACCATGCTACCCATAACCTTAAAGAAAATACATACTGGGACAACTGAGGTTGTTGGTTTGAGGATTTTTTTTTTTTTTGCATAGATTTAGAACACAATGAATCTTTCGTCTTTGTATTTCATCTGATTGTCACAAGCTGCTTAAATAGCATACCCAGAGTATAAAGCATAAATGCAGAATTACATAAATCAAATATGTAAAAAATCCATATTTATCCATTTAACTATTTGGGCTCTTCTCTACAACTTTCCCAGCTTTCTTGTGACCTTTCTAAAAAAATGGAAAACAGAACTGGGGATGTAGCTCAGTGGTAGAGCACCTGTGTGAAGCCCTCATTTGATCCCCAGGACAAAAAGAAAGAAAAAAAAATGCAGGACAAAAACTAGAGATTAATTAATTTATTTCTATCTACATGTTAGGTGTTGGGGTTGGTCAGTGAATACAACCAGGAAGATTCACTGATTCATTTATTATATAAACAATGAATGTTTTGGATTTAAAAGATAGGTATTTAAACTCTTATGAATAAACTTATCGCATTAAATAAAATAAATTTAATCCTAACTTTTTGTAGTAACCCAAATTAATTATGAATGATAAAAAGAACAGGAAGTAGATTAAAAATACATGAAATACATTTTTAAAGACTACAAATGCTTAAAAAATGTCCATGAGAACAAGACTGGGAACAAGAAGGCTAAGAAAAAAGTAACAGATGAGTGCTTTTGCAGACTGCTTAGTAGCAGAAATGTTTTGGCAGATGGCAATAAAAAGCCACAAAGAGTTTTTTTTTTTTCTTTAATGTTTGTTTTACTTCTTTTTTAATCTTTCTTTCTTTTTTTTTTTTTTTTGTGTGTGTGTGTGTGTGTGTGTGATACTTGGGATTGAATCCAGGGATGCTCTATTACTAAGCTACATCCCTAACCCTTTATTTATATTCTTTAAGAGTAGGTCTCCCTAAGTTATCCAGGCTATCCTTGAACTTGGGAGCCTCTTATTTCAGCCTCCCGTGTAGCTGGAATTACTGGCGTGTTCCAATACACCCAGCCACAGAAATTCTAATAGCTCATTTCTGATACAAAAAAATATAAAAATAAAAATTACATTTAAAGTGGAATTTTTAAATGGGCATAATAACTAATAAAATACAATGTAAAAAATACCAACATTCCATGAAAGATAATTTAAGGAATATTTAATGGCTTTACAAAAGATTTTTATATCACCCCAATAAAAGATTTTATACCAGAATTCCTTCACAAAGCAGCTTCTATTTTAAATAATGTAATTTAATTTAAATAATTTGATTCTTTCAAAACATTTATATATATTTTTTTGGTACCAGGGATTGAACCCAGAGGTACTTAACCACTGAGCATACATATCCCCAGCCCTTTTTATATTTTATTTAGAAACAGGGCCTCACTGAGTTGCTTAGGGCTTCTTTATGTTGCTGAGGCTGGCTTTGAATTCAAAATCCTCCTGCCTCAGCCTCCTGAGCCACTGGGATTACAGATGTGCCCAAATCCATGCAGCTAAATTTTTTTAAAAAATGAACATACATTTATGGTCAATTGATTTGGGGGGGGGCAATAGACACAATACCTTTAATACATTCATTTTATTTATTTTTATGTGGTGCTGAGGATCAAACCCAGTGCCTCACACATGCCAGGCAAGCACTCTTATAACTGAGTCACAACCCCAGCCCCTCAAAACAAAATTTTAACACTTCTCTCTTCTAAAAATATTTTAAAAGGAGAGAATGTTGAGGAGAAAATTATTCAACACCTGCCACAAATCTCAGGATTTTTTATTTCTTACCCTAAAATACCCAATATGATTTTCTGACAAGTGCTAATATTAGGAATTATTTAAATATATTAGGGAAGTGGCTGTTAATAATTAGTGGTATCACAAATACAAAAGAGGAAAGGATTATAAAATGGGAACACTGGAAAGAGTGATGTACAAATTTAAAAACTGAAACTTCCTTTTCTGCCAGTCTTAGGGGAGAAAAACCAAGAAGAGAAAGCTGGAGGAAAACAGAATAAAGAAATTCTTGGGGCTGGGGATGTGGCTCAAGCGGTAGCGCGCTCGCCTCGCATGCGTGCGGCCCGGGTTCGATCCTCAGCACCACATACAAACAAAGATGTTGTGTCCGCCAAGTACTGAAAAATAAATATTTAAAAAAAAAAATTAAAAAAAAAAAGAAAGAAATTCTCGAGCAATGAAGTAAATCTCAAAGGAATTTTTTTTTAGGCATTGGGGTTAACATCACATAAGATGAACAAGTTTCAGAGCTGGGAGTACAACCATGGGTTTATAATCAATAATACTGTACTATAGATTTCATGTTTATGTTTATTTACCACAATGTATTAATAAAGTCCTGGGTTAAAAATGAACATAGCATTGATAAATAAAATGACCTCATATGTTTATTTGGCAGGAAACCCCTTCATTACCTCTCAGTGCATCTACCTTCCTCCCTGAGCACTTGCCCTTTTTTTTGGATGCTGTTTTCTATCTTATTCTTCCACTTCTTTTCTTTGATCCATCATCTTTTTTGAAAAGATCCCAGCTATTCTTGGAAGAAAATACTCTACTTTGGTTCTCTCGTCTCTCTACAACTAGTTACGGTATACTTTGTTACTTTACGTAGGAAACCTAAAAATAAAATTAAATACTATGACTTCTCAGAGTCATAACATATTTTTCTTTAGTATTGTTATAAATTTATCTTTTAAATTATATTTTTTTACATTAGACTTTTTTCCCCAATCAGAAAAAATCCAATGGGAAGTAGAGATCTAAGGAATTATTAATTTATAGTGATTAAGTAAGATGAATACTTCAGGAAAACAGACAACAGAAATTATCAAGACTATTTTTACTGTCCAAATTCACCAGATAAAAGTTAAGCCTCATATACTACTGAGTTTAAAAAGAAAAATGTAAAGAAAATATATGATAATGTATTTTATAAAGTTGATATGAGAACATATACATCTATTTTTGCCAAAAGAAATACAAGAAGGACAAAGCAGAACCAAAGAGATTAGTTACGTAGGTGAATAAATAGAAACAGGGTGTATGGAATTGTGTGGGTTAAGGTTATTCTGACTATTCTTTTTATATAGTTTTGAGTTTGCTTCATAATTATTTACATATATAAAAAATACTCAAATCAATAAGGATGGGGAGGAGGAGCTCTTAAATGGAAAACAAGAATAAATATAACTGTATTTCAAATGAATAACATTACACAGTTAAGCAAGTAACTCCAGAACACAGAACTTTGACTCTATATCTTCAATCAAAAACAAAGATAAAAATACTAGTAAACAGATATTGAACCTTAATCTTTGGAGTAGTATGTGTTATCAATTTTGTAACTAATGTGTATTATAGAACTAAGAAATGTATAAAGATACTGATAATAATGGAACCAGATTTCTTCACTGTTCTCAAATATAGAAAAAAGATCAAAATTAAAACTGTGGTATTTAATTAGAACTGATGACATCTTCATCAACTCATGGTTTAGATAACATAAAAAGAAAAACCTAAATAGCTATAGCTATGAATTTTTTAGCATTCTTTTTTTTTATTCTAATTTGTTACATATGACAGCAGATTGCATTACAATTCATATTATAGCTGTGTATTTTTAAATATACGAATGAACACCTATTTCTTAGCTCTGACCACTGAAAGGGCCTTGAAGCAAACACACCCCTCTGGAATGAACACAGCACTGATATCCTTAACCACCAAAAACAGAACAGGTGTCCTTGGAAAATGGCTGATTTGGAGACTGGAACCAGGAGAGGACTAGGTAAGCCTACAACACTTTTTGACAGCAAGGAAATTCTCAAATAATGAGGACATATACAAAACAAAAAAACATTTTAGCTGCCTCCATTGATGGGGCTCCCAGTGGCCAAATCTGGTACAATTTTAACATCAATATTTTAAAATGATAGTAACAGGGGGCTGGGGCTAGGGCTCAATGGTAGAGCGCTTGTGAGGCACTGGGTTCGATCCTCAGCACCACATAAAAATAAAATAAAGGGGGCCATGGTTGTGGCTCAATGGTAGAGTGCTTGCCTAGCATGCGTGTGGCACTGGGTTCGATCCCAGGCACCACATAAAAATTTTAAAAATAAAATAAAATAAAGGCATTGTGTTCACCTACAACTAAAAAAAAATTTAAATTTATAAAATAAAGGTATTGTGCCCACCTAAAAAATAAATAAAATGATAGTAACAGAATATTCATGAAATAAAATAAGAATCTTTAAAAGCCTAATCTGATATTTAAAAAATAAATAAATAAATAAATAAATGGGATGAAACCTCTTCCTTGGAATAAATTATAAATTATCAACTATTCAATATGGAAGAAATTATGAAGACAGAAAAACCACCATTTGGCAACCACCTTATTAATAAATGATTTAGCCAAGAAACATCAACAGATGCTAAAATGAAAAGGTTAAGAATGTAAGAATTAAGTTCTGTTTTCCTGGAACCTGAAACTCATGTAGAAGTTGAAAACAACTCCCGGAAATGCCCACTAAATGTATGCTGAAATCTCCCCTGATCATCTGGTTGCTCTACGAAAACAACCCCTCCCAGAAACCATGCAATGATTGGCTATGCTGTATGTGAAGTCCCTGCCCTCTCCAAGGAAAGTATATAAACTCTGTTTAAGCTGTTCCCGGGGCTCTCTGCTCTATTCAAGTGAGCTCTGAGTCCCAGCATGCTGGACCCCCAATAAACCCTTTGCTGTTGCATGAGACAGTCTCTTGGTGGTCTCTTCCTCCGACGCTCGCCCGACCTTTACAAAAAGAGTGGGAGGAAATCTAAGGAAGGAGAACACTTTAAAATCTCAAAATATTCTTTCACAAATTATTTATTAGATGGGAAAAATAGTAACTTTAGATTAACTTAGTAAACACAACCTATCAAGTAAAGCTAACATCATTAATAATAGGTCAAACCAACATCATGAATTTCCTAATCTGTTATCCTAAGTATTTCTGGTAAAAATGTAGAAATTGAATTGAATCTAATCATAAGAAAGCATCAAATAAACATAAGTTGAAGAACATTCTATAAAATAACAGGTTTGTATTTTTCAAAATTATCAAGATCACACAAGAAAGACTGAGAAGCTATTCCAGATTAAAAGAACCTAAAGAGACATAACAAAAGCAGTATGCTATTCTGTAATAGAAAAAACAAAATTCTACAAAAGGTATTGTCAGGACAAACATTAAAATTTGAATATGAACTATAGATGCGATAATGGTATTGCATCAATGTTAAATTTCCTGATTTTGATCAATGTATTATGGTGACATAATAGAAAATCTTCATTCTTAGGAAATGCATTAATACATTATGGCTTACAAGGCAGGTTTGCAAATTACCCTCAAATCTTTCAGAGAAAAAAACGTGTGTAGTACACATGTGTACAGAAAGAAGAAAGAGACAAAAGTAAAGAATATGAGACAAAATGATAAACTAGTGAATCTGTATTAAAGAATATGCAGAAAATATTTTTATAATTTTCATTTCTGTAAATGCAAAATAATATCAAAATAGAAAATTTTGTTTTAAGTGAACCTTTCACTTTATCATCCATCTGAGGCAAAATTAAATTCTAGCTGTGGTTACCAAGTGGTTTCACATATGCATCTCATTTAATCAAGTTGCAGAAAAATAAATTTAAAAAAGAAAAGACTTTCTGCTAATGAAATGCAATCTGACACTAGTGTTAGCCATAACATCACTTCGCTTTCTAGCTGTGGTTACCAAGTGCTTTCACATATGTATCTCATTTAATTAAGTTTCCAAAAAAAGTTTAAAAAAGAAAAGACTTTCTGCTAATGAAGTGCAACCTGACACTAGTGTTAGCCATAAGATTCCTTCCCTTTCCCTCCTCTCCTTTCTTTCTCTTTTCTTTTCCATGTAGTTGCTTGAGGCTTGACATGCTCAATTAGTGTCCTATTCCCTTGATTAAAGTGATTCACATGAACCAAGCTCACGTAGGACCCTCTCAAAAACTTGCCTACAAAAGGTATTATGGAAGAAGCACTCTTTCTACTGACATTTGTTTTTCAGGATGATGAACCTTAGGCTGCTCACCACATGGGTAGAAACTATGCAAGAGATGGTAAGAACAGAAGTCTGCTACAGCTATGCTTGAATATCTACCCCTAGATTTAGGTAAACTAGAAAACTCCATTTATGCATGTTAGCCAGATAAGTTCTGTTGGAGTACCCGCTAACTGACTTAGTAGGTAAATGTAATACAAAAATAGTTTAAGCATTTCTGAAAAAAAAAAAAAAACTAAATTAAAAATAATAAAAGTAGAAAAATCATGCTTTCTATTCACTAGTAATAAAACTATAGTCAAGTTAAATAAATATCCAACTCGCAAATGGAAGTGAACATATGCTAGAAATTAAAGTATAGATTTAATAAACTGAGTATGTACATCCGTATCTTTTTTGGTGTGGTTATGTTATTAATTTAAATATGAAGAAATTAGAAACCAAAATTATGAAAACAGCTAAATTCAGCTCATCAGAGCACAGTGAAAATAAAGCCAAGGGCCCATATTCAATCCAATATGTGGCACTTTAATTCACTGTCTTCCATAATAATAATTCTGAGACCCAAACCAAATGATTATACAGAAAATAAATGTGTGAATGAAGGCATGCAGATTCACAAATGCCAGTTATGTAAAACAATTGAAAATATATATTATACATGACACAAAATACTTATTTAAAACTTACCATCAGAACTTGTGAGAACAAAGCTTTCTGCTTGTGTCTGTTTCTTTATGCCTAAACTTTTTGGAAACCAGTGAAGATCTATAGGGTAAATATCATCAGGAAGCTTTACAATTTGACTTGTTTCACTGGTTAACAAGTTCCATTTCACTATCTGGTGATCATCACTACATGAATATAATTCTTCAGCAGTAGTCCAGCCCACACAACTTACTAATTCTTGATGTGATATCATATTAAGGAGGCATAAAACACACAGAAGCACACAAATCTTAAGTCTTAATAATTCACAGATGCAGATTATGAGAAGGAAGTAAAATATAAAATGGTTTAAGTTTTCAAGCTTCTAAATATTTTGGTTTTTGTTTGTTTGTTTGTTTTTGGTACCAGGGACTGAACTCAGGGGTACTTAGCCACTGAACTATATCCCAGCCGTTTTAATTTTTTATTTTGAGACAGGAACTTGCTAAGATGCTGAGGCTGGCTTTGAACTTGTGATTCTACTGCCTCAGCCTCCCCAGACACTAGGGATTATAGGCATGTGCCACTACACCCGGCCTATTTTTTATTTTATGACTTTGATATTCTTCCATGTTAAGGAAATTTAAAATCTTATCAAAATAGTCATAGGAATGAAAAGCAAGGAAGACCGCCAGATCCCAAAGAGAGGATAAACTGATTTGACTACATGAATATTTATAACTTGTATTACAAAATAATTCTTTAAACAAGGCCAAAAGATATACAAAAGAAATTTAATAGATTAAAAGGTAGGGAATGATCTACACTAAATTGTTTAGGACTAGATAGGAAGAAAGGAAACTACTATATACGTGTAAAGTGTGCATATACTCTACACATATACATGTGTAGACATATATGAATAGACATATATGTACCAATTATTTGAAAGCACATATTACTTTGGTTAAGTAAAACAAAAAAATCAAGTACTAAAATAAGACTAAAACATAAGTAAAATATTCCCTTAAGTCACAGAGTATAACAATTCACCTAGGGAAAAGCCCATAGCTTAACAACAAAAACTAAAACTATCCCAAACATATTTTTTTTTCATTTCATTTTAGTTATTTATTTTTAATTGACAATACGAAAATATTTTTTCTTTTTGCACTGTTAGGGATCAAATTTAGAGCCTCATGCAAATAGTAGGCAAGCGCTCTACCATTGAGCTGCATTCCATTTGACAAGAACTAATTCAAATGCAATTTACTATATTTACAAGATGAATAAAAATATGACCCCTAAAATTCTTTTTTTAATTTTTATTTTTTAGTACTGGGGATTCAACTCAGGTGCACTTTAAAACTGAGGTACATTCCCAGCACTTTTTATTTTTTATTTGACATGGAGGGTCTTGCTAAGTTGCTGAGGTTAGCCTCAAACTTGCAATCTTCCTGACTCCCAGATCCCTGGATTGAAGGGACCCCCTAAAATTATTTAATCCATTTTTTCAGTCTCTTATTATTATAAGATTTCTACATATGTTGAAATGCTAAAGCTGCTCTTACATCCTTCTTCAAGACAAGCTGCTTACCCTAGTAGAAATGTACACCTAGAAAAGAGTATATTTTAGTTTGTCATTTATATCCAATGTTATTTCTTCTTTACATTTTAACTGGGGACTTGCTGACAAAATACAAGGTCATTCATTTGAGAAAATATTAATAACTGCCACCTTTCCTTTTGAAATAATAAAGGTCTCACTGCTCAGATTTCTCCAGCTTGTCCTCTACTTTATCAAGAATGCAAAAAAACTGAGCAAAATCCAATGAACACATTAGAAATTATTTGGTTAAAAAAAATGATTCACTGGGCATGGTGGTACACATCACATTTGTAAGGCATGCAACTCAGGCAGCTGAGGCAGGAAGATCACAAGTTCAAGGCCAGCCTCAGCAACTCAACAAGGCCCTAAGCAACTTATCGAGACCCTGTCTCAAAAAAAAAAAAAAATCAGGGCTGGGGATGTGGCTCAAGCGGTAGCGTGCTCGCTTGGCATGCGTGCGGCCCGGGTTCGATCCTCAGCACCACATACCAACAAGGATGTTGTGTCCGCCGAGAACTAAAACATAATAAATATTAAAAATTCTCTCTCACTCTCTCTGTCTCTCTCCTCTCTCACTCTCTCTTTAAAAAAAAAAAAGAAAAAAAAATCAAATGGGCTGGGGAGGTGGCTCAGTGGTTAAATGCCCCTGAGTTGAATCCCCAGTACCAAAAGAAATTAAAAATTTTTAAAAAGCTTCTCTTTATTAACCTACTAGAGTAAACAAAAACTACTTTTCAAGTTTGTCAGTACAATACTTGAGTAAGAAAAATGTCAATAAGAATTTGAAAGTAAGATTTAGAGCAAATAGTTTGCTTTGGAGAAGTACTCATAATACATAATCTCAAATATTTTGAAAGCAATTTATCTAAACTAGCATTAAAGGAATAAAAAATAAGTCCATTCCCTACCTAAATGCAAAATAGAAGAAAACCTAATAATTCTATAAGATGATTATAATAAAGTTTATAAGTATTAAAAGGATATGCTTTGGTTCTTTTAAAAGAGATATCTTCAGTCTCATGTTTCCACTTCCAGCAAATTTTTAAAATATCACTTGGACTGTATTCACTGTAAAAATAAAAGGAGAAAAAAAAATGTCAGCATTAAAAACAAACCTATGTGCACAAAAACAACAACAACAAAAACCAACTGTCTTTGAATCACAAGGAGCATCACAGTACCTATAATTCTTCTGGCATCAAATACATGGATAACGAGGAAGAAAACCAGTGGGTATGACAATCCTGCCATGAGATGATATAAACCCTAGGGCTGAACCACAGGGTTCTCTGTAACTTGCCAGAGAGACATCTACCAGAATAACACTAAATAAATCTGTTGGGTAAAGAAATTCCAAAGGCTGTCCTGAGGCCAAATCAAAAGATCCTTCAAACTGGGAGCATATCAATCATTTGATCCCTCTAATGAATATGAATTAAATTTTTAAGGTCTGATGGAAGGCTAACCTACATTTTTAAGGGCCTTAATCCTACACATGGAAATAATACAACATTATCAACCTAGTGCCTTAATCTGAAGCTCAATCTGTTATGAGAAGACACACTGCCCAACAGTTATGGCTACCATAGTGACAATGTGGAAAAACAAATGAATTGCTTAAGAAAGAGGTAATAAATTGCTTGTAAAAGTTATGTAAGGCTGGATGCAGTGGTGCACACCTGTATTCCCAGAGACTTGGGAAACTGAAGCAAGAGGATCACAAGATTAAGGCCAGCCTGGGGAACTTAGCAAAACCGTATCTCAAAAAATAAAAAGGGCTAAAGAGTAACTCAGTGGTAGAGTGCCCTGGATCAATGCCCAGTGCCACCACCAAAAAAGAAGAAAAAAAAAAAAAAGTTATATGAACTGAGTGTGGTAGAACACACCTATAGTCCCAGCTACTTAGGAGGCTGACACAGGATTATCTCTTCAGCCCAGGAGTTTGAGGCTAGACTGGGCAACATAGAGAGATTCTATTTAAAAAAAAAAAAAAAGAAAAAAAAAGAAAGAAAGAAAGAAAGAAAGAAAGAAAGAAAGAAAGAAAGAAAGAAAGAAAGTTGTGTCAAAAAATATAGCGTTGGGCTGGGGATGTGGCTCAAGCGGTAGCGCGCTCGCCTGGCATGMGTGYGGCCCGGGTTCGATCCTCAGCACCACATACCAACAAAGATGTTGTGTCCGCCGAGAACTAAAAAATAAATATTAAAAAAAAAATTTTCTCTCTCTCTCTCTCTCTCTCTCTCTCCCCTCTCTCACTCTCTCTTTAAAAAAAAAAAAAAATATAGCTTTATTGCCAAAGGAAAACTTGGAAAAAAGAAAATTAACACTCCCCAAATAACCATTATCATCAAAAGATCACAAGTGAAAAAAAAATGCTAAATTATCTGAGCACAATTTACATTTGCAGAATTCTTTCTTAGTAACATCCCAACCTAAATAGAAAAAAAATCAAATTAAAGCTCAATTAAAGGGAGGAAAAAAAATCTCCTTAACAATTTCAAAATTAACTGATAACTCCATCAAAGAAGGTGCTTACTATAAATAATATTGAATTCCATAGGCCTCCTTTAGATAATTTCTCATTCTCCTTAATCCAGGAAGGCTTTTTTATATCAGCAAGGTGTAAATACAGCTGTATGCCAAAGCACTCTTTTTCACTTCTCTCTCTCACAATTTTCTCTGGATGATTTTCTTGAACTTCAAAAGTATGAAAGTATGGTGGCACAACTAAAGCTACAATATAATAAATACCAGGCATACTTCCCAGATTCATTTTTTGGTCCTTAGGAGATATCCACCTTCCTCAAAACTCCTTTTCCACTTCCATCAGAGTTCCAAAGAATGATAATATTTTCTACAGACCTGCTTCTTCATAATAATTCAAATTTATTCAGATTACAAAAATTATTTAAAAATAAAGAGAGGAAAAAATCGTTGCTTCTGGAAATAACAAAATGTTAGACAAGGAAATATATGTAAAACATGAATATAATGTTACTATCAGAAGATTTGACAAAGGCATGATGATTTTACATCAGGAAACCTCAAACTTCTGATTCTATCATAATTTCTCTCCAGAAGAAATCATAATACCTTTTACACAATAAAGGCAGTATGGTCTTTATAAGAAAGGACTAACCAACCATTCAGAAACATGGTTCCAAGGAATTAGAGAAAAAGGAAGGTTACTTCCTAAGACTGGGAAGATTCTCCCTTGTTTAGAAATATCTTCCCCATCCATTCCATTTAGCTCAGATCATTTGTGTGAATAACATGTGCGTTTTGATACTGGATTGAATAGAAGAATAAGGGAAAAGTAATAGTATAGCACAGCCAATTCAAGGAACAGCCTAAATGCTGTATTGAGGTATTTATATCTGCCCAAAGATATTGGTCACCTAGGGTCTAAATAAGAAATAGTACTGGAGTGGTGGGGTGGAGCAGATAATAGAAAAATTCCAAGGCATATATAACTTTATAACTTTACATCAGGAACAGCAACTAGGCCTTTGATACTAAAAATCATTTAAAAGTTGTCTTCATCCCCAAGTAGGTCAACATTTATGAAGCTTGACATGAAAAATATGCCTACCAAAATCTGATAGTCCATCCAACCACCAAACTACACTCCAAATCTTCTCAGCACCTCAACTATAGTTCAAAACCACAATCTTTCCCTGTCTTAATTACTGCATTAGGCCCAGAAGTGATCTTTCTGCTCCTACATTTAACCACTTCAAATTCTTCTAAAAACACCCCAGCAATGCTATTAAAGCTAACTCAGAACACAAAGGCCAGAATGGCTAAAACACAGTAAATAAAGATACTAGCAGGAAATTAAGAAGGAAACAGGGACACAGATCATATAGGGTCTTGGAAGGTCACAATAAAATCTTCAGTTTTTCTTCTGAATGAACTTAAGAATCCAGTAGAGGGGTTATGAACAAAGGAGTTATGTGATTATATAAAGGTCATTACAGAATAACACACAAGTCAGGCACAGTGTTGCATGCTGTAAAACCCAACTATTTCAGAGGCTAAAAAGAGAGGATTGCAAATTTGAGGCCAATCTAGGCAACCTGGTGAGATTCTTTCTCAAAATTTAAAAAAAGGGGAGGGGGGCTAGAAATGTAGGTCAGTAATAGATGGCCCCTGGGCGCAATCCCTAGTACACCAAAAAAAACAAAAGCCAGAATAGTACGCAAAAAAATAGACTATTAGAAGAGAAGATAAAAAGGACTATAAGGAGGGAGAATAACTGGATTTCAATAATCCAGAAGAAAGCTGAAAGTGACTTGGACCAGGACAAGGAAAGCAGTATTACAAGTAAAATGAAGCGGTCCTATTCTGAATATATTTTAAAGCAAAATTCCACAGGATCTGCTGACAAATTAAAGGGAAAAAGTAGTAAAAAATGACTCTAACATTTTAACAGGTAAATGGAATTGCTATTTACTTGAAAAAGATAATAGAAACAGGTTGGGAATGGTGATTTTAAAATTTTGTTTTGGATATGTTAAGTTCATTCTACTTTTAGGTATCCCAATGGAGAAGTCAAAGAGAAAATGGATATACAAGTCTAGAATCAAGAGAAAGGTTGGAGTTGGAAATAGCAAATTAGTTATCCGTTTGAGGACTCTAAGCACAAAGATCACATCAAAAACCATGGGATAAGATGAAACTTCCAGAAAAATATAAAAGGGTGATAGAGTCAATAGCATGGAAATCCTACTAAAAATGTGAAGAACTGTCAGTCAGGATTGAGATTCTAGAGGAAGTGTATACATAAAGCAACAAACTAAAAGAATAAATAAATAATAAAAAGATAAGTGGAAAAGCCAAGCATAATAGCGTGACCTGTAGTTCCAGCTACTCAGGAGGCTGAGGCAGTACAATCACTTCAGCACAGCAGTTTGAAACCAACCTGTGCAATAGAGACCCTGTTTCAAAAAAAAAAAAAAAAAAAAAAAAAAAAGTAGAGAGATTCAGATAATAAGTTGCTTAAAATAGATTTTGAAGAGAGTACAGACATTGGTAATGACAAGGTAGATTATTACTAAAGGCAGGAACAGGTTGGGTTGATTTGTGGATATTTAAGGCATTGAAAGTAACAAGAATAATGGTGAAGGTAAAGACAGTTTCTTGGGTGCTAAAATATTCACTGAAAGAGTAGAAATAGCAAAGATTTTGCAGATGACTGAAAAAAAGCAAGGTAAATGTTTCAATCTGGTAGGACTTGTTTCAAACGAACCATCAAATCTTAGAAAAGAGGAAGAAAATCAACTGTCTAGGTACAATAATGAGAAAAAGATCTTCTGATACATGGGAGTCTATGAGGCAAAACACCTCTACTTGAGATGACTACACAAAAAGCAGTTTCCTTAGGTGTTACAGTTTGGATCCTGAATGTCCTCCAAAGGCCCACATGTTGAAAGCTTAGTTTCCAACATGTGGCACTATTGGGTTTTAGTGGAATATTTAGGAGGTGGGCTCTATGGAATGAAGTTAAGTCTTTAGTAGCATGACCTTGAGACTCTACCCTTTCCTCTTTCTCGTTGCCTCCTGGCTGCCAAGAGGTGAGCAAACCTGCTACACCATGTTCTCCCCTCCATAATGCTCTGCCTTGAACTAGGCTTAAAAGCAACAAACTAAAACCATAGCCAAAACAAACTTTGCCTCCAAAAGTTAATTCTCTCAAGTATTTTGTCACCTTCATGGAAAGCTGACAAACACATTAGAAAACAACCATGAAGCTAAAGGAATTGTTCAGAGTAAACACTAAGGACACTGATTTGGCTAATGATATTCTCTGAGTTCCAAAAGGATTTAGATGGTAAAGAGATACAATTTTAGGGCAAATGGAGGATAGGCAGGTAGACAGAATATGTATGTGAGCATATACACATTGTATACATATATTTTTGTGTGTTTATAAAGGTAGATAAGTTTAGAAGTTAAAGAAACAGAATAGCAGCTATAAAAGACTTTTAAATTAGGTTAGACCTCAGTATGTTTAGAGGCAAAGGACAAAGAACTAGTAGACGGGTATAGATTGGCAATACTATAGAAAT